CACACACACACACACACACACACACACACACACACACACACACACACTTGTGTCCTTATGTTAGCCCCATTTTCATATTCCTCTTTCTTAGATACAATTAAGGCTCAGTGAAAGAATACAGAAATCAAGAGTCCTGAGCTTTTGTTCTTTTTGTTTGTTTTATTTCATGTGTCTAGGTGAGTGCCTGCATGTATATATGTGCATGCTTGCATGTAGCCTACACAGAGGCCTGAAGAGGGTTTCCCCTGAAACCGGAGTTACAAGTTGTTGTGAGCTGCTATAAGGGCGCTGGGAACTGAACTTAGGTCCTCTGCAAGAGCAGCCTGAGCTCTTAGCCCCTAAACCATATCCCCAGCCTGTTTTGTTTGATTTTGTTTGAGATGATTTTATATAGCCCACACTGGCCTAACTTGCATTTAATTCAGGCCTGAACTAATCTTCTTGCCTCTACCTCCTAAGTGCTGGGATTACACAGAATTATTTGTGAAACACAGAAGCCTGATTTGGCTGAAATATAAATATGATCCCAGTATCATATTCAAAATTGTTTGATATAAACAAGATGCTGAAGTGGAGCTTCATACATACCTTTACTTTCTGAACATCCTACTCTAACTACATGTGTGTATGTGCATAGTTGACATATGTGTATTATTGTGTATGTGCGGGTACATATATATCATGTCCCATGTACGGAAGCCAAAATGTAATTCCCAGGACCAGGTCATCAGGCTAGCAGAGCAAGCACTTCCACTTGTTGAACAAATACTTTCTCAGCTAAAAAGAGAACTTTGTTAAAAAATATATTATTTTACTTAAAATTCATATAATGGCTAGGGTTATGGCTCACAACCATCATCAAATCAATTGAAAGTCTAAAGCAGAATTATAGGACCTTTGAAGCTAGCCTCAGCTAACTAGCAATTACCAGGCCAACCACAGCTACATAGTAAGATCCTGCATCAACAAAACAAAACACCCCAACCAACATAACCTGCTCCAGAAAGAAAGAAAAGGAAAGCTTACCATGTATTCTGAAGGAGCCATAAACTCAATAGTAGCATTCTGGACTTCGGGTCTTTTGTGAGGTTCTCCATAAACTCTGGTTAAAGGGTTGTACATGAATTCTTCAGGAACTGTGCAATATAACAATTTATTAATAAGAGGATTAAGTCAATACCCCGCATCTGGATTTTTATTAATTTAGATGTAATTAATTTAATCCAAGCTAAAAATAAAAGAACAGATTGACTTTTAAAAAGGGTTCCTTTTAAATTCCTCCAATAGATGGCAGTAACAGGCTTTGCTGACAACTGTAATCACAGCGACGTTCCCCAGCAACTGATGTCCTGTCTAAATTCTTACAGCTGATTTCAAAATAAGCTTGAAAAGGTGATTAAAATTAAAAACTCATTAGATGCCAGTTGTTTTCCTAAATCTCCCTATTGTACGAAGACATTAATCTTTGACATAGAAGGTATAAAGACTGGCTGCTTCCAGAAAGTGAAGGTGCCAACTGTTTCAGGGTGAAAGCCATGAGGGATCAGCAAGTTTCATTATCACCAATTACCTTTATACAATACCAAATGTCTCTACTTGTAATGCACTATGCTCAGGATACTTTAGGAATTAGCTAACCAGTAATTAATTGTTTATAAATTAAAATCCTTAGGCTGGGGGAGAGAAAAAAATAATCCTTAGGCTGGATGAGGTGGTGGATGCCTATAATCCCAGCGTGTGAGAGAGAGAGGCCACGGATCACCACCAAGTTAGACGGCAGCCTAGGCTACATAGTAATAAGTGCAAGCAAACCTGGGGTATAGTGTGAGTCCCTCTCTCAACTGCTGAAAACTTGACACGATGGATGGAAGACCTGACTCCCACCAACTTGTCCTCTTAACTCCATGTGCATATTGTGGCATGTGTACTGGGCCCTCACCCGCAACACACACAAAGTAAACAAATGTGATGAAGAAACAGCAAATAAATCACACCACCACCACCCTAAAATCCTTATGTACTCACAAGGTAAACTAGTTGATTAAGTAGCTCAACAGCGTATAAAGGGGGCTACAGCCTTTACTATTAAAGCACACACACTTAGGATTTTAAAGGTGAACTTAACACTGATTTTTTTTTCCCGAATTTTTATCACATAAAAAAATAACCTGGTTTTGTTTTGTAGCCCAGGCTGGCCTTGGCCTCCTCAAGGGCTCAGATTACAGGTATGACATCATACTCAGCTAAGTCTCTAGTTGTTTTGTTTGTTTGTTTGTTTTCAGTTTTTCGAGACAAGGTTTCTCTGTGTAGCCCTGGCTGTCCTGGACTCACTCTATAGACCAGGCTGGCCTCGAACTCACAGAGATCCACCTGCTTCTACCTGCTGAGTGCTGGGATTAAAGGCATATGCCATCCTAAGACTCAAGTCTCAATGAAATTTCTTCCAAAAAAAGACATTGCTGGGAGTGTACCTCTTCAGTTACTGATCGCTGTGTTCAACTAGCCTAGTACTGCTCTACTCTCTTCAAAAGCAGGGAGTGATAAGGCGTGGTTACTTTGTGGCCTTACTTTCTTTTATCCTAGGGTGGGAAATTACACAAAATAATCTCAAAATAAAAGTGTTTCAGGCTGGAGATACAGCTTGGCTGGCAGAGTGCTTCCTAACATGGAAGAAGTCAATCTCAGCACCACAATATCAGGTGTGGCAGCACGCAGCTGTGATGCTGGCACTCAGCAGGTGGAGAAAAAAGGATCGGAAGGAAGGTAAGGTATCCTTAGCTGCACAGTGATTTGAGACTAGCCAGGGATACATGAGAAACTGGCTCAAGATAAAACGAAACAAAAACATTAAACTGTACTGTGAACTATTCCATTGATATGCTCAGTGTAATAAACGTAAAACATGGTCTCAAAATGATTATTATTCCATTTCTGCCCCAAAGTACACATTTATAAGTATAAAGGTATAAAAAATATTAGCAGTAGCTATCTGAACTAAAGAACTGATTAACTGTATATCAAGTAAATAAAAGGGTCGTTTTTCTTTTGGGACAGGCTTTCACCATCACTACTATACTCCCCAGTGGCTAGGGCTGCAGATTCATAAGCTATCTTTGTCTGTTTCTCAAGACAGGGTCTCTCTCTCTACGTAGACCAGGCTGGTCTCTCATTCAGGGATCTACCTGCTTCTACCTTACAAATAGAGGGATTATTAGAGTGGTGAACAACCATGCCTTACCCTTTTTTTTGTCATTTCATATCTTTATTATCTTGTTTCTCTACATTGCAAATTAAAAGTAGAAAATGTTTTAAGGGCTGGAGAAACAGCTCATCTGTAAGCAGGTAGACTGCTCATGAGGCAGCTCACGGCCACCTGTAACTCCAGCTGCAGAGGGATTAGATGCCTCTGGCTCCCAAGGGCACCTGCATTCATCAGGGACACATACCTACACATATACACATAATTAAAACAAATATGGTTTGTTTTTTTTCCCCTTGGTTTTTTGAGATAGGGTTTCTCTGTGTAGCCCTGACAGTCCTGAAACTCAGAGATCTAACTGTCTCTGCCTCCTGAGGGCTAGGAGGCACAAATGTTTTTAAGAAAATGTTTCAAAAAAAGCATACCATCATTGACTCGATAACATAAGTTACATTTCCACCTTCTTTGATCAAGAAAGTTGACGAAAGGGTTGATGTAAGTCCTGCATGAACGGCATCTCACAATGGTACTAGAGGTGACCACAGGCAATTGCTGAAAATAAGCAGAGGAAGGTGTTAAAGGCGTAATCGCCAAGCTGAACAAGTGGATTTAATCTATCCCTTCCAAGTAACTGGTAAGACATTTTACCTTTGGAGTGAAACCCAGGGCAAAGAGTGTGGGCCTAGAGGCTCATACTAGAGGCCTTAGTGCTAGGGGAAGAGACAGGGCTACTGCAGGTCTGAGGCTAGCCTGGGCTGCACAGCAAGAGTTACTCTCGGAACAGCACATGGGGGTGGCTTCCACAATAAAATGCATCCATTAGAAAAGACAGTCACCCTGCAGAACCAAGGCAGCACACAATACAATTTGTTTTCAGGGATGATGGCAAAGAAATAGGAACAACATTCTCTTTTGATTAGACAGGTCTGACCATGTTGCCCAGGTTAGTTTCAAACTCCTGAACTCAAGGAATCCTTCTGTCTCAGCTAATAGAGGAGAAAGTACATTCTAAAACAATGAAGAATGAAACTGTTACAGAGTTTTTATTTTATATTAAGAGGTCTACTTAATTCTCCCAAGAACTACGACAAACTTAAACAGCATTTAACATTTATCATCTATATTAAGAGTTATGGGTCAGGGAGCTAGGTGGGTGGGTAAAAGCACTTTGCAGTATAAACCTGACACTGTGAGTTTGAGCCCACAGCCCAAGTCAAAAAACTGGATGGTGTGGCAAGCATCTCTAACTCCACCAATTCTACGGTGGGGTACCACCTGCACGCTTTCCAACTCACATATCTATATCATACGCAAAAATAGTAATAATAAATAAATAAATTTCTCAGTCTTCATATAAAAAGACTTCAATTAGGGAGGCTAAGCATTGTGACCCATACCTGTAATCGTAGCACTTCAAAGGCTGAGGCAGAAGGATTATTAACAGTTTAAGGCTAGTTTGAGCTACATAACAAGCAAAGTAGTATTCTCAAACAAAAATCCATAACAGGGTTGGGTAGCACAGCCCTCATCTAGCATGCATGAGGCCATCACTATAATTCCCCCGTATCACAACCACCAAAATCAAACAATAAAATCCTACCACCCACACACTGATTCTCAAGAGCATGTGGATTCCCAGAGAATTAGGGAAAAAGCAATCTTCGTTTCTTACATTTTGAACAACTTTGATTTTATGTTAATTATAAATGTGTGGGCAGCAACTTCATAGAACAATTGACTTCACTCCAAGAGTAGCAGAGTGGGGAAACTATTTTAATGGTAATTTACCACTTAGTTAAATGGAATAGCTGTCTTTGTTTTTTGCCTCAAACTTCAATTGCTCCTGTCTTAGTCTCCCGAGTACTGGAATTACAAGTGTAAATCACCAAGCCTGCGTCTATTTTTTTCTTTTAGTTATGCCCAACCATATATCAATCCTTGGATTTTTCAGTAATACTTCATTTAACTTGATCTTAAATCATAATAAAATTGTTGGTTGAATTAGAAAATAAAAAAGAAAATAACTGTCACACAACAGAACTTTATATTCATTCTTACATTGTTGCAAAAATACTTCACCACTTAGATAATTTTCATAAGACATCTACTTTCTCTAAAGAAGCATACCACTAGGTCCTTAAAAGGGTGGAGCAGCAGCCCCAAAGGAAGCTTGGCTTTATTCAGTAAGGCCTGAGTCTGAGGGATGCTGGTCAGCGTGCATCGAAATAACCTGTTGGGGGAGAAAAAGTACAAGTCAATTGCTGCTACAAGTCATTATTTTAGGACAACAGCAAAAAAAGATAAAGGGTTCCTATGTCAGATCAGATTAGAAATGAATCACAGACTTTCTTTAATTTTATATTATTAAAATATTTAAACTGCATGTATGACCATGCATAACCCTGACTCCAGCACCCAGCACTCCAGTTGAGGTGCTAGGATTGCACATTTGAAGCCAGCCTGGCCATAGTGAGACCGTGTTTCAAACTAAAAACAGGCTGGATGGTGGTGGTGGACACCTTTAATCCCAGCACCTGGGGGTAGAGGCAGGCAGATCTCTGTGAGTTTAGGGCCAGCCTGGTCTACAGAACTACTTCTAGGGCAGCCAGGACTACACAAAGAAACCCTGTCTCCTGGGGGTGGGGAAAAAAAAAAAAGAAACTAAAATAAACAATTAAGTTAAAGACTTACTAACCTGGCTTCTGTGTAAAACCATCTGGACTAATAACTAATTATTACCTTGGAATTAGGAGGTGATGACTCAAATCCTCAAACAAAAACTCTTTTCATTAATTAATTACTTAACATATTTATTTATTATTTGTTAGCTGGGTTTGGTATGCTGCTGGTCTTGAACTGCTAGACTCAAGTGTCCTCCTATGTCTCTTACCAAACAGCTAGGACTACAGGTGCACACTCACTGCACCTGGTCAAAATTCACAGAAGAACAGTTTTACTAAAGCTTTTTAAAATATTACTTCAAAATAACAAATTGTACAATTTTTGAGTCTTTGCTACATATATTTAAATTATTTAGGGAATAAAGAGTTGAGTATGGTGTCTTCAAAGCTGGGAGACTAAATCAAGGTGAATAAAGTTTGAGGTCAGGCTAGGTATGGCGGTGCCCCCAGCACTTAGGAGTCAGAGACCAGAGGATCTCTGTGAATTTGAGACCAGCCTGGTCTACACAGTTTCAGGACAGTCAGGGCTACATAAATAAACCCTGTCTCAAAACAAACAAAACTAATTCCTGTTCTTTGGGATATAGCTACACTAATGATCATGAATATAATTTATTAAAGCTAATAAGAGCAACAATCAATTCAATGGACATAAACCCATTTTCTAGCCTCCTATTTTTTCTTTTTAAAGTTCTAGAACAGTTTTATTAGTGTTTAAAACAAAACAAAACACGAGGCCAGGCAAGTTGCAGTTCTTACAAGCTGCCATGCTGTTAGCTTAGAAGTCAGATACAGAGAGGACAAGAAGCCACGTGGAGGGGGAGATGTCAGAGAAATAGTAAGGAAGCCCAAAGTATTAGGGAAAGGATGCTAAGAACAGGGGTGAGAGGAGAAGGAGCCACGCTTTTGAAGGTAACTCAGAAAAGGGGTAGACTTAAAGAGCGGCACGGCTGTACGCTGTAAGAGACAGCCAACCTTACTTCTTAATTTAGAACATACAACCCTCAGGAGAGCAATACAAGACTCCATCTTGTACTGTCTACCTGTGCACACCACTTATTCACAACATCTAGGAAAGCACACCAGACAACTTAAGAACAGATACTGCCATGTTTAATAAGAAACGGCATTTGACGCCTTACTCTGGGTTACAGTTGAGTTTCTGGATGTCTTCATGCAAATTTGGGACCGGAGGCTTCAAAGGTGTTGAGGGAAGCATGTTTCTTTCTTGAAGAAGATTGACAACTCTTAGACCCTCTGGATGTAGACTTAATCCACTCATGCTTGCAGTTAAATGATTAGCACCTAAGGGAGTCTGCAGACAGTTTCAAAGTGAGTAACCTTAGTAAGTGTGTAGGGCTCGGCTACAAGAGCATCATCTAAAATTCATGTTTAGGTTCTAGAGTAGTATGCAAATACAAAAGCTTTAGAATAATAAGAAAAAAAAATCTTGAACCAAAAGGTAAGAAATATTAAAAAAAAAAAAAAAAAGAAAGAAAAAGAAAGTTTACCTGAGTAAAGGCCTGGGGGCCGCTTGGGTAATTCAGGGAGGGTGGTGGCATTCCAGCCGCACTAGGTGGCGCTGTGTTCTGGTAGCCTGGTGGCAGTGAGGGGTAGGCATATCCCACACTCCGGCTTGTTTGGGGGTTCTGATTAGCAGGCTGTGGTGCTGCTAGAAACAAGGCAACTTTTGAGTTCTAGTTTATGTTCCAGATGTTTAAAATCACTGTAAAGATCCACTAAATTATGAGAATTATAACTTCAATTCTTCTTAATTATAGTTTCAGTTATCAATTTAAAGAGAAACAATCATTAGTAACAAATAATAGCATGATTAAAATCTAGCTAATATAGCCATAAACATATAGAAAAAGTTTAGCATAGTTAATTTACTTCCATATTATATAATACATTTCATTTTTAGACTAAATTTTCACTTAAGAAACTTTAGGTACATGAATTTAAATATATAAAACTGATTACAGTGCGGCTCATAAAGGTCCGATTCTACAAAGAAGAAACTAAATGCCTACAAGTTGGTACATGTGCATAACATAAACTTTTCACTCAGTTCTCTACAATGAACACTTATTACTTCTATAATCAGAAAGAAAGAGAAATGTTCATAGCATCTCACCCAAGAAGCCACCTCCTTCAATTTCATCATAAGTACTATGAGTCACCATAGATCCATTACTGGCATTTGCTGTAATACCTAAAAAGGAAATTCATCAACAAGATTTAAATAAGAATGACTGCCATAGGTTCTTCAATAAATAAATTAATATCTAAAAATTTAGATAACCTTTGAAAGACTAATTTAAATCACAACCTATCAAAAATGTCAAATGTTACATATACCTTTAAACACACCTTTAATCTAGCACTGGAAAGGTCGAAGCAGGCAGACCTCTGTGAGTTTGAGGCCAGCCTGGTTTACATAGTGATTTCCAGGATAGCCCAGGGTACATTATAAAACCCTATCTCAAAAACAAAACCACCTGGCCAGGCAGTGGTGGCACACCTTTAGTTAATCCTAGCACTTAGGAGGCAGAGGCAGAAGTTCAAGGCCAGTGTGGTCTATAGAGTAAGCTCCAGGACAGCCAAGGCTACATAGAGAAACCCTGTCATGAAAAACAAACAAACAAACAAACAAACAAACAAAACCCAAACCCACCACAAACAACAACAAAAAATCCAGCTGGAGCGAATGCTCAGTGGTTAAGAGCACCTTTGCTCTTCTAGAAGACCAGAGGTAGGTTCCCAGAACCAACAGTAGGTAGCTCACAAATGTCTGCAACTCCAACTCCTGGGGGAACCTGGCGCTCTCTTCTTGTGTCCAAGGGCGCTGCACACATGTGTAAATACCCTCACACAGAGAAATAATCAAAATAAATATTTTAAGGTATCTGACGGATCAACTCAAGCCTGAGGGGTAAAGAGTTGATCACTAGGACACATATGCTGTAGTAAACCAACGCCAGCAAGTTGTGCTCACGCTCACACACACACAGACACACACTCGAACATGCATAATGAAAATGCATTTTAAAATTAAAAATAAATTAAACAAAGTTGAACTTTAATCCTGACACTTGGAAGGTGAAGACAGAAGGAGTAAGAGTTTAAGGTTCTCCTCAGCTACACATTGAAGCTAGCAAGGGCTACAAGGGAGCCCATCTCAGCCAGGCACAGTGGCACTTGTCTTTAATCCCAGCACTCTGGGAGGCAGAGGCAGGTGGATCTTTTTGAGTTGGAGACCAGGTCTACAAAATGAGTCCAGAAGAGAAACCCTGTCTGGAAAAACAACAAACAAACAAACAGCAACAAAAGAACTCATCTCAAAAGAAACAAACAGACACGAGCAAACAACAAAACCTCCAAACAAGGAAATGCTGACAAGGGCGTGAGAAAGCAGAACTCTTCCACACTGCTATTGGGAATGTAAAACAGAAGAGCATTACAGAAAAGCATCCAAGTGCCTCAAAAACTTAAAATTAGGAATACTGAAATTAGTATACCAAGAGACGCCTGAATTCCCCCTCACTGAATGCTCCACACATCAGCCAAGATATGGAATGTGCTTAAGTGTCCAGCATTGAATAAATGGATAAAGAAACTGAAGTGTATCTACACAATGAAATATTAGTCATAAAAAGGAAGGACAAATACTGTATTAAATGAAACAAACTAGGCACAGAAAGACAACTATTACACATTCCCATGCACATTGAGACTAAAAGAGTTGATCTCAAAGAATTAAAGAGAATTGTAACCAGGTGATGAGAAAGGAGGTAAAAGAGAAGTTGGTTATCAGTTACAAAATTAGTGTTAGGACAATTTCTGGAGTACTACACAACACAAGGGTGACTAAGTTAAAAACAATTTACTATGTTTCAAAAGTATCTAGAGGGCTTTTGTTTGTTCTGACACAACTCTCACTAAACAGTCCAAGCTGGCTTCAAATTCAAGATCCCCCTGCCTCAGCTACAAAGTGCTGACAGGCATGTACCACCACATCTGGTTTAGAAGACATGATTATAAATGTTCACCAAGGAAGGGAATGACAAATGCTTGAGACAGCGGGAATCCTAATTATTCTGACTAGATGGATCATCACACATTATACATCTGTCAAACCATCACAATCCACCCTATAAATAGGTGTCTGAAGTAGTATTTTAAAACTTTATTTTAACTTTATGTTCATTGGGGATTTTGCCTGCTTGTATGTCTGCTGGGAATTGAACCCGGGTCCTCTGGAAGAGCAGCCAGTCCTCTTAACCCTTGAGCCATCTCTCCAACCCCTTAAGGAGTAATTTTTAAAAAGCTCAAATATAAAAATAAATGAAGCTGGCAGGAGAAGGACCAGGAATATCTTACTGGTTGAATGATTGCTTAGCACACACAAGCCCTGGGGTTCAATTCCGAGCTCAGCAAATAAAAAGAAAGTTGCTGACCTGGAGAGACAGCTCAGTGGTTAGGAGCACTGGGTAAAATTGGATAGTAGTAGTTTCTACAACCTTTCTATTGCTCTACCAGGTCTCAGGTGTTGTATGAATAGTCTCGCCAATCATTAAAAGTGAACCCAGCTAATTGGATAGAGGTTTTGTTTTGTCTTTTGGAAAATGTCAAGACAGGGTTTCTTTGTGTAATCCTGGCTGTCCTGGAACTGCCTCTATAGACAAGGCTGGCCTCAAACTCAGAGATCGCCTGCCTCTGCCTCCCAAGTGCTGGGATTAACGGCGTGCGCCACCGCCATCAGCTGGATAGAGACTGAAAGGTATCTTTGAAGACAATTATTCTATATTTATAGAGACTTTCTGATCGTTACTGTTGGACTAACTCAAGAACTGGAGACACTGCTGCATGGATAAAAACTGTATGATAGAACTGACTTTGGCTTCATCTCAGTGAAAGTATGAAGCATATTTCATGATACTTTTGAAACTTCTTTGAAGTTATCACTGTAAATTTATAAAGAATTTTCAACTGACTTTCATTTTCAAAGGGTTAACTCTGTAGCACAGTCTGACCTGAGTGGGGGGGTTATAGAGATTTATGATGTGCTAAGTTAGAACAGTACTATATGAAGCTTTATTTTTACTTTTAAAATTCTTCCTAGGCTGGAGAGATGGCTCAGTGGTTAAGAGCACTGTCTGCTCTTCCAAAGGACCCAGGTTTAATTCCCAGCATCCACATGGCAGCTCACAACTGTCTATAACACCAATTCCAAGGGATCTGACACATTCACACTAATACACATAGAATTAAATAAATTATTTTAAAATAATTCTTCCTAATTTTAACATATACTGTATGCCAAAGTTTATGAAGTTTTCTGGTACTTTTTATTGTATTTTATTTATAAATATTTGTTATAAATGCATCTTTCATGGGTTGAGATAATATCTTTACATTTTTGTGTAGCAAATTTCTATTGCTATGAAGTTCTTTTATTTTTGGTTCTGATAAGTTAATATTATTAATAAAGTACTATTTACTTAGTATTAAAAAAAAAAGAGCACTAAATACTCTTCCAGAGGACCCAGTTCAATCCCCAGCACCCATATGGCAGCTCACATCTGTTCTACAACTCAGTTGTAAAGAACCTGATGGGTTTCTGGCTTACCTGGGTACCATGCATATGGTGCAGACACATGCAGGCACACCCAAACACAGAGACAAAGGGTGTGTGCTTAAAGGGGATTGTTTGCTACAGCACAAGAGTAGGGTGTTGACCTAGCACACACACAAGATCCTAGGTTTTATGCTCAGCACTGCAAAATAACAACAAACAAAAACAAATAACACAGATAAAAAGTAAAATGCAAGTTTTTAAAAATTTGCTTTTTGATATGGGATATCATAATGCAGTACAGGCTAGCCTCTAAGTTAGACTCCTAAATGTTGGGATTACAGGTAGGTGTGTGCCACCAAAAGCACTAATGTTTCAAATAACTTAGATGCAGCTTTATGGAAAAGAAACATGAACTTGGAAGGAATCTTTTTTGTTGTTCCCTAGAGATCGAAGAAGGATCCTAAAATATTCTAATACTAATGTATTCTAGGAAGAAGATTCTAGAGTACAGAACAGATACCACATTCTTCTTTCCGTCCAGCTGAGACATGAGCAGTGGCTTTGCCTTTGATTCGCTTACCATCATGGCTGACAGCTGAGTTAAACGATGGTGGGAGTGCAGCCCTCGGAGGCGTTTTCTGGGATGTGAGGCCCCGGTTGGGAGGTGGGCCTGTAGCTGGAGGGGGCCGGTTGGGAGGCAGGCCTGCAGCTGGAGGGGGCCCGGGAGGAGCTCCTGGCTGAAAAGTGGTAGGCAGAGGAGGATTCTGTAAGGGAAGTGCAGAACCTATGGAAACATGGGTTTTTCATGTCACGTAAGAACTTAAGACAAAGGTCCCAAACAACTTTTGCTAAAACCAAGTAGACTTCTAAATTGACATTTTAATAAAAATATCCACCAAAATGTTAACAGAGACAATGAACTTCCTAAATTTGTAACTCTACGTGCAGAGTTTTCTAACTCTTTCTTCCTAGGCTTCTTATCTGCCAGTTCTTAGTGCAATATAAATAGACCAGCAACCCATAACCTCAGCACTCAGGTTGCTGAGAAGAGGATCAGCAAGCTAGAAGCCAGCCTGGGCTCCATAGTCAGAACTCCTCACCACAGAGCGACATACACACATTAGCACCAAATCACTTCTAGGATAAACAGAATATTCCGATTATCTTTTTCACTAATTGATCATAAAAACTTTAAGAGGCCATGTGAAATATCCCAAAAATAAATTAAAATGAATAAATTTTGTCAATTTTTATCATATCAAATTTGCATTTAAAAATACAAGTTCTCACTAGATGGTACAGGGTGACACCAAACATGATGTGATCCTCTTGCCTCAGTCTGCAGTTTACTCGTGTGCATGAGACCATGTCTGCACATTTTGTTAATTGTTTATTTTTTTTTGAGTATCATACTAATTTTCCAATTTTTTATTTATTTTGTTAGGTTTTATTACAGTAAAAGCCGTTAAAATGAGATGACAGGGCATTCCTGTCTTGGTGGCTCTGTACTATCATTGAGGGGAGTTCTTTCTCACTTTTCCCTAGTAAATCCACATGCACTGCTTAAAGATGAGATGACGCCAGGTAATGTCGACAAATGTCTTTACCAGCACTCAGGAGGCAGAGACAGGGGATTTCTGAGTCCAAGGCCAGCCTGGTCTTAGAGTGAGTTCCAGGACAGCCAGGACTACACAAAGAAACCGTTTCCAAAAAAAAAAAAAAAAAAAAGGCAGCAATAATAAATAAATAAATAAATAAATAAATAAAATTTAAAAAAAAGAAGAGAACCAACTTCCAGAAGTTGTCCATGATCTCCAAATTTGCACCATGACATTTGTACAACTTACACACTAGGCAAATAAAGAGGCTCTTGTAGATGACTGTGTTTGATTTCAAGAATCCACCCTGGGTTTTACAAGCATCAATTCCTATTCCAGGAATCCAGCACCCTCTTCTGACCTCTGTCATGGCATAAAGCATGCATATAGTGCACTTATACAGATGTAGACAACAGACGCATGCACAAAAATCTAAACTTCAAGATTTACTTAATTCATGTGACTGTGTGTGTGCTTGAGTACATGTGTGTTCACTATATGCATGTGGTGCTGCTGGGGCCGGAAGAGGACATCAGATC